TCCTCTTCTTCCTCTTCATAGAAAGACCTTTTTGCCCGTCTTCTGGTATCATCAAATCCGTCTGGGACTGCATCCTCGCCTATTTAACCCTTCGGTCGGGGGTGTTAGGCCTTACTCCGGCGTCTTCACTCCTTAAACAGACCCATCATGACCTCACAAAATGACACCAACACCAAGCTCACCAAAGCAAAAGAACATGCCTTGCAACAATATCAAAACAGTGATGGACATTTTTCTCTTGTCAGGTATTTCAACGTTTCTAAATAACATGCCGAAGTTGCGTGGAACTGCGTCTGACCGTCCTTCAGAAACTTTCGATTAGCGGATTTGGTCACGATCATGAATGGTTTTTGCGGCACATTTTCAATCTTTTCATCAGCTCGATACCTTGCTTCGAATGATAAGGCACATCTATGGGCTGCACTTACCTATCCACTTGCTGGACTTCTGTTCGATTTCTTCGATGGCAAAGTGGCCCGTTGGAGGAATAGTGCCAGCTTACTTGGTCAAGAATTAGATAGTTTGGCAGACCTGGTGCGTAATTCTGTATCCTGTATCTTGCTCGTATGACCACGCGTTAACCTACCTTGGGTCGAATATAGATCTCTTTTGGCGTAGCCCCTGCTGTCCTTGCTTTCGTTGTCGGTCTTAGGACATGGATGGATACTGTTGTACTCGCTGGGTTCGTCTGCTGTGGATTAGCGCGACTTGCGCGATTCAATGCGACGGTGGCTCTCATCCCCAAAGATGACGCTGGGAAGTCAAAATATTTTGAAGGTCTTCCTATACCATCTACACTGGTTCTCGTCGGCGTCCTGGCATTCTGGGTTCAAAGGGGCTGGATAGAGTCGGAGCAAGGACTTCCTTGGGGCGTCTTGACTCTGTGGGACTCAAAGACAAACTCTGGAGACGTGCACTATGTCTCGATTATCTTTGGTGCCTGGGCAGCTGCGATGGTTAGCAAGACGCTGCACGTTCCCAAACCTTGAGTGTTGTTTACATGTAAAAGTTCTGCGGTCAGACAGGCTTTCTTTTTGGGCTAGGATAAGGCTATTCTGTAACCCAAGGACAATAATCAGTACTCTCATATTATGCATTTTGATCTTTGGTGAATTTAGGTCTGTGATTACTCAACTTTGCCTCTTGAACCAAAACTACATTCATTATGGTCAAGCAAAAGGATGTCCATAGACTCTTTAAGCAAGCCATGATATCACGTAGATGTGTTACCGAAGAGCTCGCAACAATATTATGGAAAAAATGTGAAGAAGCCTGTCGAAGTATGTGACTATCCTTCTACCCAGCCCTGCAGAAAATAACATCCTTTGGATATCAGGTCTCAATGAAAACATTCCATCTCAGTTTGAGGCCGCAGAAATCGGGACATACATACAAGAGATAAATGACACGATCACGCCCCTTTCTCTTGAGTTCAAGTCCCGTATCGACGAAGTTACTGGCAAGCGGATGTGGGCGCTGGTACGTCCCCATACGTAAGGATAATTCGGACTCGTGTTTATCATTGAAATATAGGTCAACACAGTAGACGGAGACATTGCTCAGGTAGCCACTGAATACAGTGCGACAGAGATCACATTCTTCAAACATATCGTATGTGCATGAAGTCTACGAACAACGAGCTTTGTTGGTTTGACTCGCCTTTATTAGATTGAGTTGGTCGTCCTGGCTCCAGCAGATGCCTATTCAGTATCTTCTCTTGCTGCAATCCGGGAGGTCTCCAACATGAAAGCTTCAATGACAAAGTCACAAGCTGAAGCCGCCCTTTCCAATTTTGTGGCCAATGGATGGCTTTATCGAAGCGAGTATGTATATAGGCGCAGCCTATCCTCGGAGGACGGTATTCGTTCAAGGCTGACTGATCTCATCTACTAGCCGGGGTAGATACGCATTGTCGACGCGTTCCCTCATCGAATTAGAGATTTATTTACGCCGGACATATGAAAACGACGTTCCTGAATGCTCCTATTGCACCGAACTGGTTACATTGGGAGTTGCTTGCAATAATGACGATCAGAGTTGTCGAGCAGTCCTTCATCGGCATTGCTATGATCTTTTGCGGCGTTCACCAAACAACTTCAAATGCCCTCTCTGTAAAGCTGATTGGGCCCAAGGAGGAGCAGTACGTAAAATAGGTGAGGATGCAGTCCCAGACGGATTTGATGATACCAGAAGACGGGCAAAAAGGTCTTTCTATGAAGAGGAAGAAGAGGA